CTAGAACCTACTTGAAGAGACAGCCTGTCATACAGGAAAAAGAAGTCCCCACTTTGCCGCACCATCCAAAACCTACAAAGCCCTGCACAGGTAACTCTTGTGTTTGGATCTATGGGACCCTATAGCTCCATTCACCCAGACTTGATGGAGAGAAGCATCTCTTACATATTTATTCAACCAATATTTATTGAGTGTCAACTGTATGCCCCGGGGACACAGCAGTTAACACAGTCTATACAGTTATCACCCCCATGTAGCTGATATGGTAACTCCAGGAACTATGTGAGCATGGAAGCTACCTGTGGGTGAGCTGAGTCAGAGGGCCTGAACTACAGCCTTCCTTTCACTTCTTTACTGAATTATCTTGATGCCAGGTTATAGGGAGAGGTAAGGTGAATTTTTCCTATTCATATTATGAACATAAGACTTAACATGTGATTATAAAGCACAATCAAAACATAGTACTAGTGTTTTATGAAGCAACTAAATCATTATTTTGTAGAGCTGGACTTGCCTTAGAAGCATTCTAAGCAAACTTCCAGGGAAGAAGCGGGAAGCTAAAGGCATTAACATTTACCCACAGTTACACAAGCAGTTTCGAGAAAGCTTGGTCTAAAACTTTTCCTAAATTTCCCTTTTAGTGATATATATGTAGTCATTTGTCTATTCACATATTTATTTACTTATAAGTCTTATCCTGCAAACTTCCAAGAGTGCTGAAGTAACTTGTAGAAGATGTGTGTAAAAATCTTATGAAAATAGAAAAAGAAAAACAACATACACACGGACTGAGGGGCTACCAGCTCTCTAGACCTGCTGTCCAGTACAGGAGTCACTTGCTGCAAGTGGCTGTTGAGCCATTGGGAAGTGGCTCATAGAAATTGAAATGTGCTGTAAATATAAAATACATACTGGATTTCAAAGACTTGATTTAAAAAGAAAAGAATATAAAATAACACATCTTTTTTATGGACTTACATTGATTTTATTTTATTTTATTTTATTTTTATTGTTGTTCAAGTACAATTGTCTCCATTTTCACCCCATCATGCCCCCCCATCCCCACTTCCCGCCCTCAATCCCACCCCCTTTGGCTTTGTCCATGTGTCCTTCATACATGTTCCTCGGTTCCCCCCACCCCCCCCATTATCCCCTATTATCCCCCCTCCCTCCTCCCCTCTGGCTGCTGTGAGACTGTTCTTTATTCAATATTTCTGGTTGTATTTTGCTTTAATTGCATGTTGATATCATACTATTAGAGGCATATTAGGTTATATAAAATATATTGTTAAAATTAATTTCATACATTTTGTTTTACTTTTTAAGGTAGCTACTAAAAAATTTAAATTATGTGTGAGGAAAAAATTAAATACGTGGCTCATGTTATATTTCTACTGGACAGCACCAATAATTTAATGTAATTTCTATCCTTGAACACTGAATTTAGCCCTTAGCTTCTGGGAAAAGGAAATATGGGTTAGACAATTCTCCTTATTTGATTAAAGGAAACTTGCTGGCTTTTCTAAGAGAGACAAACATTTTCCCAGTATTAAATTACAAAAGAATTCATCTCATGGATATTAAACAGGGAACATTAGGCAATGGGATATTTTCAACTCTGTTTTTACAATAGATGCAGAAACGTTGTTCCTTTGGTTATTTTTTTATACTTTCCCTCAACACAAAAACAAAAACCCCTAAGCATCTACTATCAAAAGACATATGAGAAGAAACTTTCCTTCAAGAGACAAAGCCACTGAGGCCTGAGTATATCTGTCCATCTCCCACCCCATTGATATACATTAAAATTCTGAAAATAGCTCAGAGTTATAAATGGACATAATGTTCATTAGTTTTTTTATTCAAATATCCATCATCTCACCTGAGCTTTTCACATAATTGAAGAGCAGATCGTATAAGGTTATTTTCTGTCCAGATACTGGTGTGCAATGATTCCGCGCCGTACTTAGGAACACAGATGTTGCTTTTCCTTAGGAGTCTGTCCCCGGGTGAGCTGCACTGCAGCCTCCCCACACAGTGGCCTTAGGCACATTGTCTCATCAAGCCTGTTTTCTTCAGATGTTAACTGAAGAGGCACATACTACTCGCTGGGTTGTTGGAAAATCCTCTTGTAAAGTAGAAAGTGCTTGGCACATACTGACTGGTCTAAACAAATGTCTTGTCCTCGGGGTTGCAGCCTGTACCTGAAGTGGACTATCGAAATACATTCAAACACAGTGCTCTCCGGGAGGAACTCTGGTGAACCCCCACCCCCCACCTGACCATGACCTGCATGTTTTGTGAATCCAGCTCTGTGTCCCTGCAGATCAGAGCCCAGCAGCCCTGACCACGGCTCATCAGCCATTGAGCAGGACCTTGCTGCCCTGGATGCCGAAATGACCCAAAAGTTAATAGACTTGAAGGATAAACAACAACAGCAACTGCTTAATCTTCGACAAGAACAGTATTACAGTGAAAAATACCAGAAGCGAGAACATATTAAACTGGTAAGCTTGAGAAACATGATTTATGTTTGTATGGCCGGAACCCTGTTTTCTACAGAAAACTTTTAATGAAAACCTTGGATAACTTCAAGGGAGACCATGGCAGGTCAAGCTGGCAGCTTCCTTTTGCTTTTCCCCCCAATAATATTATCTTGATGCCAGGTTATAGAGAAAGGTTAGATGCATTTTCCAGATCCATATTATGACATATGATTTAACACATGACTGACTTACAAGCACAATCAAAACTCAATACCTAGGCTTTAAAAAGCCACAAAATCACCATTTCTTAGAAGTGGAAATTGCACACACTAATATGTTATGAGCCCACTATTCCTGCATCTTTACCAAGCTCCTCTCTGTTCCCTAACGAGGCTATGTTTTATTGCTTTTATTTTCACTGACTTATTTTGGGGTTATTTCAATTCCTTGAAATCTCACAAGCAATTGGAAAACACTTTAAGAAAATTAAGAACAAGCTGCAAATACATGTTCAATATTTTTTGTATCTCTGGGATTTTCAAAAGCTAAAAAAAAAATCACACAGTCCACTCTTCTACATTTAGAAAAGGCCGTATCAAAATGGTCAACATGGAGTGCTGTCTACCCACTTGCTGAGGCTCCCAGGGAAAGAAAATGCCACCATCTCTGTTAATGATCAGTTTTGTCTTCTAAAATGTTTTCTCATGAAGTATGACATTTTTTCCATTGTTGTTGATGCCTTGACACATAGTAAGGACATGATAAATGTTTGGTGATAAAATAAATGAATCAATCAATAAAGTGACCTTAAAAACAAGCTTGTGTCTAAAATACAACAAAGGATTGAGCTTAACAGAAATCAGTGTCCCCAGAGGAAATGAGCCCTGGCAGGTGTTTGCATGACCTGCCCACTTCTTCTCTGGAGGTGGGCCCATGGAAGAGAATTCTGAGCTGTCTCTGCTGGTAGGTTGGATGCCAGGAGATGGTTTAGCCTGGATAAAGTGCAATTCTGTTGTTCTAGTACTGGTTCCCACGACAGTATGCAAATGAGCAAGGCTAAGTCACAAGAGGAGCTTATCTAAAATCATATTCTACATGGTCAGTTATTGTGAACTTCGGCATGCATCAGAGTAACCTGGAGGGCTCATTACCCAGATCATGGGGTCCCACCCTGAATTTCCAGGTCAGCAGGCTTCCCTTGGAAGGCTGCTGATGCCGACACTTCTGTCCCAGGGCTGCACTTTGAGACCCATTGTCCCACACCTCAGTGGGAGACTCAAAGTTTATCTTTAACAAGCTCCACATGATTTTGATGGGCCACCTTGTCTATGAGCCACTAAAATAAGATCTGAGCCATTAAAGACCATCGGGGCAGCAGTCAGGTTCAGTGTGAGAACGGGATTGCCTTGACAGACCTGAGAAGGTCAAAGCACCTTTTAATGGGAGATGATGGCTTTGGGACCCAGTGACAACCACTACCATCTGACTTTCTCCAGTATACCATTCCTAGTATTCCAGGAGATAAAATAATAATAATATAAAAATTAAAATACTAGCATATATTGAGCACCCACCATGGGGCCATATACTGTGCTAAGCCATTTACAAGAATTGTCCAATTTCACTCTCATAATAACCACTGGAAGTTGGTACTATTGTCAGTCCGTTTGGCAGATTAACATTTTTACCAAGCCCTGCCAGGCGGCTCAGGTAGTTTGGAATATCAGCCCGTACATCAAAAGGTTGCAAGTTCCATCCCCCTTTTCTGTGTGTACAGGAGGCAACTGATTGATACTACTCTGTTTCTTTCTCACATCAATGTTTCTCACTCTCTCTCTCTGTCTCTCACTCTCTCTCTCTGTCTCTCTCCCTCATACCTCTCTCTTTAAAGTCAATGAACATATCCTGGGGTAGGGATTAAAAAAAAAAATCTTACCAAGAAGTTTAGTAACTTTCCCAAGGTTTCACAACTAGAAGGTAGTACAGTTGGGATTTGAACCTTTGATCTTCTGATTCTGTAGCCCCTGCTTCAAAATCATAATGCAGAAGCTTCCACTAGTTCAGATTTCAAGCCAAGGTTATCAAAATGACCACACATCTACTTAGAGCACACAGCCAACTCCATCATTATGAGGACTGGGATACTGCATCTCTCTCTGTTTTTTTCCTTAACAGATTTATTTCACATGCCATGCAGTTCACTCAGTTCAAGTGTCCAGTTCAATTGTGTTTAAATTGTGGATCTGGATGTCAGATAAAACCTCGGTGCCTTCGGACACATGCCTTTGTTAAGAGGGCTAAGCCCCAAGCATCTTGGATTTAGAACCAAACCAAATTTATTTTATGCCTATTTGGGAGCACTCACTAACTGTGAGCATCCACAAACTATGAGCCTTTTAGATAATGTGTGTATCAGAACTTTCTATCAACTCCATTTGTAAAAACCAGAAGTTGTTCTACTGAGAAATCTTATTACTGTCAATTCTGAATTATGAACAGGCATTTTAGGCTGAATTAGATAAATGCAAATGTAATTAAAAAGTGAGTAGGCCCCAAGTAAAAAGGAGTATTTGGGTGATGAGGAAAATGAAACAGAAAAAAATTTATCATCCAAAGTTGCTTTGGGAATTAAACACAAATGTGTTTTGGTTAAGGATTGTACATTTCCAATGTGTGCAATTCAGGGATGTAGAAGGAAACCATGGCATTGGTAAGCTCCCTTTTGAATGTTCATTAAAAAGTTAATATTTACAAAACACTGTGAAAGACAGTGGAGGTAAAGATGAAGAAGACGTGGTCACCACACACTTGGGGAACATTTATTATAAACAGTTATATTACCACATGATAAATGAAGCAATAAAGGTATCAACAAACTGATAAGAAAACACACTTGAGAGAACAATTTGCCTAACTCTATATACTGATTAACATGAAGAGAACATGTTTAAGTAATTGTTCATATTATCATGTGAGGTGTAAAATGCATACCAAGTGACATAGGCTCTACACCTTCAAATACTTTTGTTTATATCTGTCCAAGTAAGGATCTTCATCTTTAAAGTTCCCCGTACAAATAACAGCAGCCTGGTGACTCCAAGTCTGGTCCCCTAATCAGCCCCCTGGGAGCTCGTTAAGCATGCAGCCTCTCGGGTCCCACCAGACCTGCTAGGTCACAACTTGCATTCATAGGAGTCTCAGATGACCTGTTACATGTCCTAGTTGAAGAAGCACAGTTTTAGAGTTATCAATTCTTATGTTTGCTCAAAAAGAATAGAATAAAATTCCTTTTAGTTGAGATAGGAAATAGAGTGTGTTCTGCACTATTGACAGCTTGATCATCAAGCTGGATGAGTATCTATTGGTGACAAAGTCACAGTTCCTATGGAAATCACTGCTTTGATTTCCTGTCTAAATTCACAAGAAAGGAAATGGTTACTTTCAGGTGGAGGTGAGTGAAAAAGAAGGTGTAATTTCCTCAACCGCATTTAAGTTCTGTGCCCCTGAAACATTTCTGTAGATATTGTGAGGGTCTGTGGACTCCAGTTAAGGACTCTGTTCCAGGGAAGAGCTACCGAGTGGGGGAATCGGCTCTAACTTGTTTAATCAACTGCCATAGGTTGACCCTAAGTCTTGTCTTTATCATTAAGTTTAAGTTTTAATTTTAAACTGACCTTGGTAAGTGCACAAAATTCTTAAAGGATCCCCCTGAGGGTTCTGCATCACTTTCAATAATCAGCCACAGCATCCCATTCAAGGCTCAACACCCTCAGCCTGGTGCGAGGGGATCATGGGGTCCATGGGGCTGCTCCTCAGTCCCAGCAGGGCTTGGACTGACGTTTTGTCTTCTCACTTCCCCTTTCTTTCCAGTGGCTTCAAGAAAAGATTTACTCACTTTCTTTCACAGTCACGGCACTCTTTATCCTATGCATAGGCTTGTTCTGTTTGGCTTTACTTCCCACCATTTCTCTTCTCTTGTATTTTAATCTCTCACATGTTCTAATCCCATTCATTTCTCTCTTCCTTCACATTGACCTTAGTAGCTCATATTCTTCTTATACATCCTTCTGCCTGTTCCACTAGCAATCATTTGTGGGCCCCAAATCAATATCAGTACCCATCCACCTGAGTGCCCCAATGCCCTGCCAATTCAGTGTTTCATAGTGAAAGCTCTCCGGGAATGTTGATCAGTATGAATTGAAGGCCCATCAGGATGTGAGTGGTGATGTGTGCAGGACTTGTGCCAAATCTCATCATTTCTGGGCACTGCTCCCCACCTGAGTAGCTGTGTTTCTTCATTTGTGCCTTGAAGATGAGAATAATTTTTACTTCATTAAACCATAAGAAGAAATAATGAGGTGATATATATAAAGCATTGTTTTGGCCTTTCTTTTCTTTCTTTCTTTCTTTTTTTTACAATACATAAATTGTCTAGGAGATCATGAGTTCAAACATAAGTGTGTATTGCATTTTTTGACATCTTGTTATAGCCTGAGGGGGCTCCTTATCTTCCTTTTGATGACTTCTATCACCAGCATTTGCTGTCACTGCCTGTCTGGGAGCCAACCTCGAATTTTCTCCCTTCTTGGTTGCCCATCTGAAGTATATGAACCAGGAGTAATTGTAGTGTCAGCACATGTCTCTGCTATAGGAGTGGTAGTGTTCTCTGTCTTCTTCCAATATTCTGACTTTGACATGGGCTCATTTGTCTTGAGAAGTAAATGATACAGCTTTCCCCAAAATTTTACATTCTCTGCCAAGGAAGAAATGACCAAAAATAAATAAATAAATAAAAGACTTTAGAGTTAAAATAAGGAATGACATAATTGTCAAAATATGTTCTTATTTGTCAGTTTCCCTGATCATCATTGTGTAACCATAATGGAATGGATATTTTTCTTTTTGCATACATGTGTATATGCATGTATATGTTTAGATATCATTACATATATACACATATATACATATACAGATCTGTCCAGAAGGTATCCAGCCATATAATATGAAAAATAGAGACACTTATTGAAAAAGATACAGGATACAAGAAACATTGTACATAGGACAATGACACCTCAGTCCCCTTCAGAGCAGGCACTTTGGGACCTGACACAGTTCTCCCAATTGCCATCAGCTGCTCCATCATATTATCCTGAATCTCATCAATGGTCTGAAATCTCTTCCCTTTCAAAGGTGATTTTAGTTTTGGGAAGAACCAGGAGTAACAGGGCACCAAATCTGGACTGTAGGGAAGCTGAGTCACCTGGGTGACTTAATATTTTGCCAAAAGATTGCACAAAACATGGTGCATGAGTGGGCATGTTGTTCTGATGAAGCTGCCAATCACTGGTTGCCCATAGCTGCAGCCACTGAATCATCTGAACAGTTTCCATGGAGGAATGCTCAAGTTTAATGCAAAATTTGAGAAGACTCATTGCTCTACTCGCTCAGTCACTTTGAATGTGATGGCCACACAGTACACATGCTCACTCAGTGGCGTATATTGTCTCCACTGACTATAAAGTGAAGTCACTGTTTTTCACACATGCACATTCCAGTCCACTCTCCTTGGCTGCCAGGTTACATGGATGTCATGCAAACCATTCTTGATACATTAACAATGGCTGGAGTTCTGGAAAGACCTTCACATAGATAGACAGATAGATAGATGATAGATAGATAGATAGATAGATAGATAGATATAGATATAGATATATACATATATGCATGCATTTCTTATTTAGTTAGATATGGTATTTATATATATTATTAGAAATTATATTAAATTCCATTGCTTTAATTATGAGTAAAAATAAGCATATTTTTATATACATATATATACAGGGATTGATAAAAGTAGGTTTACAGTTTTAAGTACACAAAAGAGTTTATTTTTATATTATTATTTATTGATTGTTGTATTATTTTCCATGTAAACAACTGCAAACCTACTTTTGCTCACTTCGTACATACAGGTGTAATATACGTATATGTCTAGCTATATATTTTTGTATATATGTATATATACAAATTACATTATATTATATTATAAATATTACATATATAATATGCATATATTGCATGTAACATATAGTTAGAAATGATAATATATAGAGTTTGAAATGGTATTATTTTTAATTTCATTGCTTTAATTATAAACAAAAATAAACATACTTACATACGTTTATTGGCCATTTGTATTTCTTTTTTTCCACAAACTTCCTGTTCACATCCATTGCCTATTTTTATGTTGGAATGTCTCCTAGTCTCTTTACCCATAGAGTTTATGCTATATTTTCTTATTTATTATTTTAGGAGGTTGGGCAAGTTAGAGAGTGTAGAGTGTGCTTATATCATCATTTACTCACCCATTTAAAATTATTGAGGGTCTACTGTGGTCTTCACACTGGTGGAGGGATTCTGTGTGACAAAGCCTAAATGTGGTCCCTGCCAAGGGGCTTACCGCCATTAAGAATACAGTTTGTGGACTTGAGACCTACTTTATTCCAATGTTTATCAGTTAGCTCCATTGCACAACAAACATCTTAAAATTTATTGGCTTAAAACAGCAACCATTTATTTATCTCATGGTTACGTGTGTAGCAATTAGAGTTCAACTGACCTGGATGGTTCTTATGGTCTTGGCTGAGCTCATTTATGTGTCTTTGGTTCAAATGCCAGTTACCTAGGGGCTCTGCTTCTGGAGGTTGGCTGACTGACCATCAGCTGGGTCAACATAGATGACTGATGCACATCTCTCAGCATCCAACAAGCTAGCCTAGGCTTATTCATGTGGAACTGAGAAAGGCATTCAATTGAGAGTAAGTGGAAGAGTGCAAGGTCTCTTAAGAAATATTGTTTCTTTCTGCTTTGGCCTAAACAAGTCATAAGACTTGACCAGATTTGCCCTGGCTGGTGTAGCTCAGTGGATTGAGTGCGAGCTGCGAACCAAAGTGTCACAGGTTTGATTCCCAGTCAGGGCACATGCCTGGGTTGCTGGCCACGGCCCTCAGCAACCACACATGGATGTTTCTCTCTCTTTCTCCCTCCCTTCCCTCTCTAAAAAATAAATAAATAAATAAATCTTAAAAAAAAAGGTTCTCCTACAAAAATATATAAAATTTGAAAAAAAATTAAACTTAAAAAAAAAGACTTGACCAGATCCAAGAGATATGGAAATTGATGCTATCTTTTGTTTAGGGGAGCTGCAAGTCCCATTGCAAAGAAGGTCAATACAGAGAGTGGTGGAGAATTAGGGCCTTTTTTTTTTTGCAAAATCCACATACAGTTCTTATCATGTGGATATGAGATTCAATAAAACCATTCACGGAAACAACACAGTGTTGAACATAGAACATAGTCATGATTCTTTACTGAAGGACAATTTGCACAGAATTTAGAGTGAGGAGACATGACTTCCATTTTTAGTTATGTAACTTCAGCTAATACATGTTACCCCTTGAGTGCCTGCATCCTCGTTTCTAAAATAAAAAGCCTATAGAAGAATGCCTATAAAGTTTCTCTCTGGCTAGTTTCACTTAAATCATAGAATACAGAAATGATCCAACTCTCAGACCTTTCAAAACAATGATTACAGATTTCAGCTAAAGCAATAAACATTTCAAGTTGGGTTTTTCTTTTGTGTGCATGCACAATGTAAATCTTAATATATTTTTATGTGCTAATTAGTGACTGTTTATGTATGATTAGGGGGGAAATGTCAGTAAACAGAACCATCCCCAAAGGCAAAGAAAATAATAGTTTTGACTTGCATCAACTTAAAAAAGTTTGGGGAGCAGGACATATTCTGCTGAAAGGAAAATTCCAAAATAGAACCCACAAGTCAGATAATTTAGTTTGTGCCCTCTGGAATTACAGCACTCATTGCATTCCATCTGGTAAGTGAAGGATGCTGAAATGATATATTTTGCATTAAGAAAAAAAGTAGCCCTGGCTGATGTGGCTCAGGCGGATTGAGTGCTGACCTGCAAACCAAAGGGTCATCAGTTCAATTCCCAGTCAGGGCTCATGCCTGGGTTGCAGGCCAGGTCTCCAGTTGGGGATGTACAAGAGGCAGCGGATGTATCTCTCACACATCAACATTTCTCTCCCTCTCTTTCTCCCTCCCTTCCCCCCTCTCTAAAAATAAATAAGTAAAATCTTTTTTAAAATTCCCCATAAAAAAAAGAAAAAAGTAGCTGGCATGTTGTGTTATTTATCTTCATGGGCAGCTCCTCTGGGTCTAGATTCCAAATAGACTGTTGAAATATTAAGCCCATGATTTATTGCTATTTTAGTTATAAGCCACAGGACAAATCATGTCTCTTTTAACCAGGACTCCCTTGGTAATTATTTTAAAACCTCCAGTTTGAATATTATTGCTGCTTTCCTACATCTGAGTGGTAAATAATAATTATTTATTTTATTCATTCCCTTTTTTATATTGTATTTTTCCATTACCTTTTATTCTCCTTGTACAACCCACCCACACACAATCATCATATGGTTGTCCATGTCCATGAGTTCTTTTTCCTTTTTGCTTGATCCCCCCACTCACTATGTCCACACCCAGAGTTGTCAGCCTGCTGTCCTTCTATGAATCTGCCTTTATTTCGCTTGTTAGCTCAGTTTGTTCATTACACTCCACCTATGAGTGAAGTCATATGGTTTGTCTTTCTCTAACTGGTTTATTTCACTTAGCATAATGTTCTCCAGGTCCATCCATGCTGTTGCAAAGGGTAAAATGTTTTTTTACAGCCAAGTGGTATTCCATTGTGTAAATGTCTCATAGCTGTTTTATCCACTCATCTACTGATGGACACTTCACCTACTTCTATATCTTGAAAATGTAAATAGTGATGCAATGAACATAGGGATGCTTATGTTCTTTCTAATTCGTGTTTTAGGTTTCTTTGGATAAATTCCCAAAAATGGAATGGCTGGGTCATAAGACAGTTCCATTTTTAATTTTTTGAGGTAACTCCATACTGCTTTCCACAATGGCTGCACCAATCTGCATCCCCACCAACAGTGCAAAAGGCTTCCCCTTTCTCCATATCCTATCCAACACTTGTTGTTTGTTGATTTATTGATGGTAACCATTCTGACAGATGTGAGTTAATTCTCATTGTGGTTTTATTTTGCATTTCTCTGATGATTAGTAATGTTGAGCATCTTTTCATATGTCTATTAGTCATATGTATATCTTCTTTGGAAAAATATCTATTCAGGTTCATTGCCCATTTTTTACTGGATTGTTTGTTTATTTATTGTTAATTAAATAGCTTTGACGCCTTTTAGAATTATGAAGCCTTGTCCCCAAATTTTAGTGGCTTGAGTTTCCTTCATTTGATTTAATGAAATATAATGATCTCATATGACTTGGTCAGATACAAACATTTTCTCATTTTATTTTAATCAATAATTCCATAATTATACTATTTGTGACACCACACCAACTTTTCAATAACTTCTGTAAGAACTTCATTAGCATTTATACTTAAAAAGGGATAATTTTTTGCTTTACTATAAACTTTTACCTAAAACTATAAATGAATCATTTTCAGTGAAACTTCTCATAAAAGTTACCTTTATCAATAAAATAAATATTTTATGTCCATAAATCCTTACTTTTTGCTATTTGCAGGATATTTTAGACCACTATTGAATCCTAAAAACACTTATAGCCATAGAATAATTCTGCAATTTGTCAAGGAACTTTGGAGATAATTTAGTTTCTGTATTATACTGGTAACA